AAACCTCAATTGATTATTTCAACACCATATTAAATTTTTATTAAAATAAAAAATACACTGTTGACACGGAGTCGAACACTGTAATTTTTGGCATGTTGGATGACTCGGGCTTTTTTTGATTTTGAGGAGTGGTCGAATTTCCAAGGGAGTGAGCGAGGGCAGGTGCGATGGTAATGGCAAGAACAAAAGCAAGGGCGAGGACAAAAAACCGCCCCTTCGCTGCCAACCGTTCGCTGACCACAGCGTTAAAATTTTAAACTAAGAATAACTTAACTCGGAATTGCACATTTTTTTAAACTAGAGTATGGGAAGACTTTTTTAGAAAAACAATTAACAATGGACAGTGAACGAGAAAAAATGGTTTTCAGAAGAACATACAAACAGTGACAGGGCTGTCAACTTCAGATTCAATCAGATCATGATTTTCATCAATATTTGCTGATTTCTGTTCGCAAGTGAGAAGTCAGCAATGTCACAGCACTGAGGGCTTCGTGATTCAGTCTTTCATTCTGGCGATGAGCATTAACTCAACCATCATGTAGTGTCTGATGTATAGTGTCTTTTTTGCGAGCGAAATGTTCTAAGCACTCGAGGGAATAACCAAAGTTTTAATGACCTTTTGCTGTGATCAATTATCAATTTACATGTCATTGATTTACTGTTGTCAAATGATTTTTTTGAACCATTATCTTGTCAGTTTTCATAAATGCTGTTCACTTTCTTTTGAATTGGTGTAATTATTTGCTAACTTTTTTGCAGAGATACATTTTTTTAAAATCGCAAACAATTTGTCCTAATTCTGCTGTTCTCTGCAAAAATTTGCCCTAATACTACACGAAGTTGCTGCTCATATTTCTGACAATATTGACATCAATACAACTTTTTGCGAAATAAGTTTCAAGTTTATAATTTCAAGAGCGAGCTGTTTTTCAATATTTTCAAGCCGTTTCGGTCTGAAAATTGAAAAAAAAAGTTTAAATCCGCTCCGGCTATGATCTTATGATGAAAGAGTTTAATATCAAATTCAGCGCTAACGTTCACGTGTCGTTATTTAAGTATCAACTGTAAAATTCACAAATTCGATTCAAATTGGCTCACTTTAGATAATGCGGAAACCAAAGGCCATTTCTATTAGCCCTCGTCTGCATCTGTATAATTAAAACTGTCCTGCACGCCGTTGGGCATCTTAAGTGTGGAAGTGATTACAATTATTCCCACCGCAAAAATTTTCGCAAAAACTGTGAAAAGGCCAGAGAGATTGATTAAAACTGTATCCGAGAGAACCATTCGGTGCTGCAATTCTTCGCATTTTTCAACTGACGAAACTCTTAATTACATTTTTTGATTGTCCAGATGAAGATACTTGGCGTGACTCTGTAAAAAAATCAAATTTTAAAAAAGATTAAAAAGCAAAGCCACACACGTCAAACAATATGAGTACAAAGTTTGGACCAAAAAATTCATTTCAATAGGAGATAAAAGCGCAGCAAAACTTATCTCAAGAAACAAAACAGAATGCGAATACCAGCAGTAAGCACCATAATACCGTAGCCAGTGAAACAACCGAGGAGTGCTGCTGCGAAAGCAAAACCTCAACACCAGCGCTGCTGATAATGAGGATGAAGATGCAGTAGCTAATGCAAGCAAAACTTTTGAGGACTTCAACGAGAAAAGAACCAAAAAAATTAAAGAGTTCAGCAGGTCTTAAAAATTTTTGTCTATATTTATTTATTTTTACAATTTTTTGTTTCTGCATTTTTTTAATTTGCGCTTGAAGTTTTTATTTTAGTTTCAGGAAAAAACCAATGTTTCAATTCTCCAGTTATATCAGTAATCACCATTTAAAAAATTTTAAAATAAAAAAACTCATTCTGATTTGAATTCACTCTTATCTCATCTCAAGTACTGTCTTTTTGATTTTAAATTCTTCTCAATCCACTAATCCCAAAGAATGACCTTTTTTTAGTCGATGTGGTGTGCGTTTGTTTCCAAAACAAGTTCATCCCACTAAGCACAAGTATTTTTTTGGGTAAGTTCGATGATTTTATAAAATTTTTGTTGGGAATTTTATCCTATATACTAAACGGTACATCTAACTTTTGGTTAAGCATTGATTTATTATTTTTTCGTGGGTTCCGCTAATATTATTTGTCCTTGCTTTCAAAGTTAGCATTGTTGGATAACAGTTCCACGTCTAGATTTCAGTTGTCGTAGCGCACAAACTAGTTCAGTTAAGTTTGATACTCTGAATTGCCATCAAATATAGAATATTTAGCGTACGCTTACATTTGCGGATTTCGCTTAGAGAATTTCACGTAAATATGCAGAATTTACTTATATTTTGCAGCATCCGCTTACAGTTAAATTCGCTTGTTTCAGAACCTGCTAGAAAACAAATGTTCTGACAAAATTTGCGTTACAGCTCTTTGTATGCGGAATCCACGGAAATTTTTAGGTGGAATCCACTTAGATTTGGGAACATGGTTAAAGGCTTGGCTCTGGATTCCACTGACCTGCAGACACCAAGTTGTGCGCCTATTCATTGCACAATTTGGGCTCCTATTATTTAAATGCATACAAAAACTCAATGGCTAAACAATTCGTAGACTTTTTGTTTTGCTTCTTCTTTGTTTCAATTGATAGAGTAAATTAAACTTCTACTAAAATTTTTCCAAGCATCAGATTTTTTATGCTTGAAGAAGTGTTTTATTTGATCACCAAAAGTATATAAATTGTTTCAAATGTGTTTCAACTGTCATTTTGTGATATCAAAAGATTCTTCTGAAAAATCTCAACCGTGTTGTTGTAACGGCTCGTAGCGCATTAGTTAGCCTTTCTTGACAAAGTTTTCTTCCAAATGAGCTACAAAACGCTAAAAAAATTTCCTTCCACCAAAACATTTGCAAGATTTAATCTGAAAACCTACCGAGAAAAAACTTCATGCAAAGTAACTGTAAAAAATTGTGGATACCAATGTAAAAAGGCGAATTTTCTTCTTTGGAAGTTTTTTTTACTGGAGCTTTTAAATTTATACTATTTGAATTCGGATTGAATATACTATTTGAATTCGGATTGAAGAACAGCTCCATTGATGCCCTTGCTGCAGTTGCATTGTTCTTTTGCGATGACAAGTACCGGTCAAAAACAAGGTATTTCCTGATCCTTAAAATCGTTTGATACAATAGCTCATAGAAAAACGGCTGGCAAACTGTTTTAGAGATGAAATGCTTAACCTGGGAGCTTTTTGAAAAAGCTGAATAGCCCGCGTAAATCATCAACAAAGAGTTTCCTGAAAAACGAACAGTGTTGGGCCGATAATTTTTTTTATCCAAGATTCACAGAAATTAATTAAGAGCGACTACAATTAATTTAAAAATGTTTCTATATGAGCTCGACCAAAAAATTCCGCTCAGTTGACTTATACCTACAAACTTACTAGAGTTTCTGTTCGGCACAATTTTCAAGAATTTGTGAAGAGATATCGCGCGACGACTAAACACAATTTTTTGCTAAAAAACGTCGTTTTTGTCGAAAACTTTCACAAATATGGTGACTTAGCGGTTCCAGCAGAACGCAAAGTTTTCGAAATAGCTCAAAAAATTTTAACAAATTTGCGTTTCGAATTTTCATCTAATCAGACTTGTCTTTTTGTTTCGTCAATCCTACTTTGTTTTTTGACTTTGAAAATCACCTATAAAGCCTCTTTGGTGAAAAGTTTTTGTTGGATCACTTTAAAGGGTTTCATGTGGTTTGAGTTAAAAGAATCTGCAAAGAAAAACATTTATCCTTTTAGAGTTTTTGGGGACGTGTAATCCAAATAAAGCATTAGTATGCTAGCGCCTCCATGAAAAAGAATGCTTATTTTTGCGATAAAAACCCGGATACCAAGCTTGTTTCTAGACAACTTCACTTAATACAAAACACGGCTACTCGATTGCAAAGTCTTCAAGGAGTAATTGAACAAAATTTTTTTTGACTCTAATCAATTTCAATTTTCTTGTCTGTGCCTGTTGTTGTACCGACTTTCGTTACGAAAGTAACGGAATAGTTGTGTTCGGGGTTGTTTTTTATTCTTCGGAAAACCTCGACTTTTTAACTAGCCATTTTTGACGGAATTTTTCAATTATCATTTGAAAGCTACTGTTGTACTGAGCTTAAATTTGAAAAAAATTTTTCACCTATGGTCATTATTCGTAAAATTATAAGGTTTTAAAAATTGCCATTTGGTCAATTTGGGACAATTAACGCGCTATATATTTCGCGCCATTAACGCGTAAGCGGAGACTTGATCCGTCTTATAAATCGTTCCAAATTGGTTCGAGGAAGCTTATGTGCCATAAATGATTTGTTAATAGGAGCTAAATCTATCACTTTGTACTTAATATGGCGTGTGGGGATGTTTTCGCAAAAAATCTCAAATTAAAAAAAAATTAATTTAATTGTATAACATTTAAATTTTTTATGTTATTACTGCACCATAGAACTAAGGCAGTCAGAATATTCAGGGCTTCGCTCTGATACGAGCAGTCTTGTTTTAATTATGGAGAAAAAGTGAAAGGAGAAACGAGAAAAAGAAAATCGAGGCCGTAGTTGATTTTCTATTTAAGCTCATCACTGTCGTGTAAGAAAAAGACTGGCGGATTCAGTTTTCGGATTCAGTTCACTGAAAAACAATCATTTTCTACTCTGCCTTCGTTTAAAAAGTGCAAATCAATCCGCTAATGTATTATCATTGCCTCAGGCTTCTTGAATTTTCTGCACTGACTTGTATTTGCAATTTTAGCGTAGCTTCGTTTCTTTAGTTCAATTAGAACTCCTTATTAAGTGCTTGTTTCTGAGAGGTTACTTTTGAAAGCTTTTTTTGCCACTCTAATCAAAAAGTAGACAAATTTGTGGTTTTCATTGTGGTGAAAATCAATTTTTCGTAAGCTTTTGAACGCCTTTGATGTCAAAAACAAAACAAAAAACGTGCTGTTTAATAATTTACCTCAAAAAGAGTATTGGCTTTATGTACACTGACGATAGTAATAAAATTTGCATGATAAATCAGTTCACGTTTTCAATTTTCTTATTGACTGAACTGCGTTGGAAAATTGCTACTAATCTCTGCTCAAAATTGGTGTCAAGAAAGAGAACTTAAGTTTTTGCACTAGTTTTTTATTTGGACCCTGCGTGAAAACAGGTGAGTCGAAAAACACAATTGGATTCCCATTTAATAGGAGACCACTTCCCGGAGACTAGCGTACCGTACGGACGTTGACCCTACTCCTTCCATTCGATTGATTCTGGTACTATGTCTTTTCCGTTATACCCCCTCCCCACCCCCCCTCCCCTCCTCCCACAAATGGTGAAAATTTAAAGTGAAATTTTCAACATCAAATTCGGATTGATATTTCTAAGGAGGCAAAATAGTAACATACGAATGGCCAAAACTAAGCAGAAGCAGTTCACTCATTTAAGCTTCAGGCTGGCTCAGTAATTATTTGAAATTTTGCCCGACATTTGAGTCGATATGAGTTTTTAATTGTCGTTTAATTCAACCTTAGGACCTTTTTCCAAATTAGTTCAACGCTTGGCATAATCCAATTTTAAGTAGGCATATTCAAATTTGGCATATTCAAATTTTTCCAAAGTAGTTCAACGCTTGGCGTATTCAAATTTTAAATAAAAATTTCCTCTTCTTTTTTTATAATTTTATGAGGGGGATGTATAACACAGAAAAGACCCCCCCCCCCAAAAAAAAATTCCGTTAACACGCCTAAAATTATGATTTTGTATGCGGAGTATCTGTTTTCATAGAGAATGCAGATTTTCTCTCACAGGAAAAAATTTAAACCAATAATTATTTGAATATTGTGATCCAACTTTCAAAATATGAAAAAAAAAATCAGTTTAATGCTGTAGAATTGGTGATTCTACTGTATTACATGCCATAGTAACCTGAGCGTAAGATTGATTCGTCATTAAGCTAAGTAGTACAGCAAACAAAGGGTAAAGTTCGAAATAGTTCAATCTTCGAAAATATCGTCCCTCCTATGCCAGAAAATAAAATTTGACAAAATTGGCGACCCCCCCCCCAAATCGGAACTAAGAAAGCTAATGTTATGAAATTCAGAGGAGCGATATTAGAGATGATTTGACCCGGGCATACAAAAAACAGGACCCCTCAGACCCTTGGGGGGCAAGTGATAACGGTCCCCGGAAGTGTAAATGGCCCTATGAGAACTCGGTAACTAGCGGTTGGAATACACTCAAATTCTAGTATGATGTTGGCCTAGTTGAGGGAAGCCTAAGTTTGGAACCCCAGACCCCTAAGACCCCCACTTCCGGTTTTATGCCCAAAGTAAACAAACCCACCCGTAACTTCCGGAAGTCGTTTCTCGGCCACCGATGATCGCAGGGATCTGAAACTTGGAGGGATGATAGTTAGTGGCAAGATACATCTTGTATTATAATTTGAACTAATTCCAGCGGTTGGACCGGAAGCTATTAGCACTTGGAAAAACACCCCCTTAGACCGGAAGTAGGCAATTTACGCAAAATATTGAGTGAGCGCATATCGATTTTATTGCGGCAATGGACACAAGATACGGTCCCCGAAAAAAGATCCCTAGTGAGTGAAACCCCTCCGGTGACTCCTTCCGGTTTTAATAGACTTTTCCCGGAAAAAGTGATAATGGACCTTAGAAATGGGATAACTTGTGAAGTATTGATGGGATATGAATGAAACTTAGTAGTTAAGACCCCCCTGGGATTCTGAAGCCAAATATGGAATTTTGACCTCGGTTGACCCCTGCGTGACCTTAAGTTGACCTTTGCGATTTTTGACCCCAAAATTGCATGGAAAGCCCCAATATTAACACCGGAAAGTGGCGCATTTCCCAGCCCAGCCCCTGGAAATGAGAATAGGTCACCTTGCTAAAAACTGGTGGGAAAAGTTATATATTGAAAACTAGAGCAGAAGCTGATAAAGATATAGCTTTTACATTGCAACCTTGGAGTAGTGGATTTAATTCAAAGTGGACTTGGTAAGCATTGGGTTCAATTAAGCTTGGCGAATGCGCTATAAAAAGAATATCAACTAGACTAAAGAAAAGTAGTCCCAGAGGAAATAGATAATAGGACTGCGGCATGAGAGTTATGTTTCCTAAATAGTATGAACGAACGGGGAATTTACTTGGCTTCCCGGAGCTGACTTTTTGGTTTGATTTGACCCCTACTAGACGAACTGCGTTCCCCTGATTACTAGAAGGTCGGGATTGGAAAATAGTACAGACAGAAATTTTAGATGCTTGAAATAGATTGCTACCCATGAAAAGGGCCTCCCCCTACCCTTAGGAGGTCGGAACGTTAACGGGATAATTAAAATAAAGACCTTGGGAGGATCACTGGGTAAACATAGCTTGGTTTGGAGGTTGAGTTGAACTCGAGAGCTGAAGTTCAGAGAATTCAGGAATTGGTTGATTAGAATCGTATGACATTTGTTTGCTTGGGCAAATTGATTGTGACAGCTACCGCATACCGGGTATATAATAAGCGTGAAAAGATTGATAAAAGAAACCGAAGTTGGCACGTGGCAGAAAGGACAGGGGAGGGATATAGCCTTAAAATATGTGCGGTCGGCTGATTTAGGCGGATGTCAGGACTGATAGGGAATGGCGTGACTTAACTAAAACTAAATGTAAAGAAAGATAAGGAATTGGAGGGTACCGGAGAGCCTTCAAGAGTCAGAACAGTGTTAGCTACTATTGAGAGTAGTTGGTTCTCCGTTAGTTAGAGAGAAGAATTATTGCGAGTGAATCGAATAGTTGGTTCTCGGAGTAGGAGACCAGTAATAATTACTTCTCATCAGAGATTCTCTAGAGAGAGAGAGAATAGTTAGTGTTAGCAGAGTAAGTTGGAAATTAATTCCAATTAGGCCATTTGGCCGATAAATTGCAGACCCTTCCCTTTGACTTGAAATTAGATTATATCCTGGCCACTCAGTGCCTTCTGTAACTGGACATATAAAAAATCTAAATTAATTTATCATTGGAAACCCTTGTGATTGTATCGAGTAGACGAGACAAGACATCCGAAGGGCAATACACAGAGGGGCAAGCATTATAATACAATACAGAATTGTTGCCACCAAAATAACCCTTTCGGGATTGTAGAAAGTAGTGAATCTCGGTCGCCCCGCTGAATTCACTGCCCAAGGGACGACTATGCGGTGTCGTTAAAAGAGAGAACGAACCTAGAGAAGAAATCCCCTAATTCTACAAATATATATAACTGCATACACTCTTGATCGAATAACAACTTTTTGTCTTAATGAAAGCATTTTAGAGCCATTAAACACAAGTTTGAGAGGAAATTAAGTCAAAAAAGTTTCAATCTGCTAAAACCTTTAGAAGAGCCATTTTGCTGAAACACTCCCTTGCTGTGGAGAAAAATTCTGTCATAGAACTTATTTTGGCTCCGCATCAGTAAAAAAAATCAGCATAGCTGGCCTAGAAAACTTATAAAAATCACTCTCTGTCAAGTTTTTTATCATAGCCTGAAAGTTTTGTGCTTTTTGATTTCTCTAATAAAAACTAGAAGCAGTTCAACGCCATATAGTAACTGCAAAAATCAACTTCTTTTTGAATACCCGGTCCCCACTCCTCATCAAAATCTTTCAATGTTTTCCATCCAGGACTACGATTTTTTTATTCAATTTTTCCCTTCAAAGGTTTGTATTTGGTCACTTTTTTTTATTCATACTTTTTTATCCTTTTTACTGTAACGAATTATTGATTCTGTTAAAAAACAGAACAAGGCAGCAACTCTGAACAACGGAAAAACAAAAGCCGAAGATGAAGAGTATTAGAGAAAAACATGACTGCTTGCTTATCAGGTTAAGCCCTGAAAATTCCGACTGCCCCTTAAATCTGAACAAAAAATTGTTTATCTCAAATTATTGATAGAAAAAAAGGTTAATTGTTTTTCGTCTTCTTTTTCCCTCAAACGATAAACAAGATACAAAACTTTGTAATCCACAAAAAGATGCAATTCTCACCATTAGCTTAATTGCTGGCCTACATACATCTTAGCTTAATTGCTGGCCTACATACATCTTGGAATTACTTAGTTTGCCGCTAAACCGTATACTAAGAACGCAACTTATCGCGCGTTAGTTATTCAAAACTGGCAATGTTGGTTAAAAATATTTGAGTTGAGGGCAACGGTTTTTTCAGATGGTATAAAAAAAATTTCGTCCAAAGCAAGTCATAAATCGACATTTGAAAAAGGCACCCAACGCAACCCTTACGTTTTTTTGTCAAAAATTGGAACAAAAAAGAAGAGAATTTTGAGATGTTTTTGAGCCCCTGAAAAAAAGCAGACTAGATTTAATAAAAGTCTACCAATTAAACTGCAGTGGATTTGCTGCCCAAGTAACGCTAATTGAATTTTGCTCTTTTTTAAATTTTGGATTTAAACGAACTAAGTTTAGTTCTCCTTGATAGATTAAAGGTTTTAAGGAGTTTAAAGTCAGAGTCTAGGTAATATCGGCAGCAAATTTGAAAAACTGGGCTGTTTTTTCGAAAATTTTGAAATGCACTTTTTTTAGGAATGGTACTCTCCTGAATAGTTGCCAAAATATTTTATTTTGCTCGTTTTTATAGACCGTACAGTTTTTCAAGTACAATTGTTAGCATCTTTCGATGAGATTAAACTCTAAAATCACCTACTTCTAATGATTTTACTGTGGTTTATTCAATGGTCTTTGCTTTTTCTGTATATTAACCTGATGTTTAGCATCCAGCAATTGTTTTCTTACTCTTTTTCTGACTTTTAAAGAAAATGATGGAATATTCATGGCAAAGTTACTACATTTTTTATGCAAAAAAAACTCGTGAAAAAATTTTGGCAAAAATTTCTAAATCATCTAAGATATATTTTGGACATCAATATATTTTAAATGATTTAAAAAATTTCGTCACATTTTTTTACAGAAAAAATATTACCCCGCCTTGAAAACTCCATCAGCTCATTATTAAAAAAAATTATGTGCAAATAACCTTTTTCAATTTATGGTCACTATTTTAACCACTATATATGAAATAAGGGCAAATAACGCGCAATGTTTTTTGTACTTATAAAGCGTATTATACAGCAAACAATTTTTCTTGATCTGAATTTGGCGAATGAATATCAAAG